TTCAACAGGATGGGGCCACTTCTCACACCTCTAACACTGCTATGCCCGTTATCCGTCAACTTTTTCCTGGCAAAGTTATCTCTAAGAGAGGAGACATTTCCTGGCCTCCACGTAGTCCAGATCTGACCCCGATGGATTTTTTTTTGTGGGGCTACCTTAAGGCTAAAGTATACGACACAAACCCGCGGTCAATTGAGGCCCTAAAAGAAAACATCCGCAGAGAAATGACAAGCATTTCAGCAGTGACGTGCCGCGCAGTCATCGACAATTTTAGACGTCGTTTGCAAGAGTGCCGTGATCGCAACGGATTACATTTAGGAGATGTTATTTTCAAAAAATAATTCCCGTTTTTTAAGCTTTTTATGTAAATAAAAATTTAATTCATAATGTAATTAGTTTTATTTTAATAAATTTTTTTTCATATCAAAGGACTTATGGGCCACCCTGTACATAATTGCTGCCGACGTGGAGAAAATGTACCGGCAGATATTTGTTCATCCATATGATCGTTACCTTCAACAAATCGTGTGGCGTGATGACCCGTTAGTTTCGTTGCAAACGTACCAGCTTAATACCGTGACTTACGGCAAGCGCCCCCTTCCTCGCAACGAGGTGCCTAAAACAATTAGGATTAGAGTGCTCTGATAAAAAAGCTGCTGAGGTTATACTCCATGATTTTTACGTGGACGATTTGTTGACAGGAGGAGATAATTTAAACGAAGTAAAAGATTTGCGTCAAAACGTGACTTCCACACTCGCTTCAGCTAAAATGAATCTAAGAAAGTGGAAGTCAAATTATGTACGCTTGATGACTGATTCTGACTCTCGCCAATCTTTACTTGATTTAAATATTAGTGGATTTGAGTCCAGTAAAACTCTAGGTCTCGGTTGGCAGTCACAATCCGATCAACTTTATTTTCCCATTAGTGAACTTATTAATTGTCAAAAGACAAAACGTAGAATACTGTCGATTATATCACAAATTTTTGATCCCTTGGGACTTCTAGCTCCATGTATTATAGTTGTGAAGATGCTACTTCAAAAATTATGGTTATACAAACTGTCATGGGATGAACAGCTACCTCCGGACATTATTAAGGTTTGGAATGACTTAATTATAGCTTTGCCTAAATTAAATGAAGTCTTTATCCCGCGTCGCGTTTTAATTAATTCAAATAATTACTTAGAGTTTCACATCTTTTCTGATGCTTCTGAACGAGCATACGGAGCATGTTTATATGTTCGAAGTGTCAACCACGAGGGTCAAGTTTTAGTAAGGTTATTGCTAGCTAAGTCGTGTAGCTCCGCTGAAACCCACAACCATTCCTAGACTTGAGCTCTGCGGGGCTTTGGTTGGAGTTCGGATTTATGAAAAGGTGGTATCGTCATTGCGGTTAACTGAAACACCACGTACATTCTTTTGGACAGACTCCACTATCGTTCTCGGATGGCTTAAAATGTTACCAAATAACTTGCAGCCTTTTGTTCGCAACAGAGTTGCCGATATTTTAGAAAAAACATGCAACTGCGAGTGGAGACATGTCTCCACTGACCAGAACCCCGCTGATCATGTCTCTCGAGGAGTAGACATTAATGCGTTATCTTCTTTAGAACAGTGGTGGTGCGGTCCAAGTTTTTTAATGAATAACATCTCGTGTTGGCCTTCAAAGTTTACACAATCTTCTAGCGAATTATTGCCAGAAACCAAACGTGATATCACTTTACATGGTACAATCAATAAAAATGTATCACATACGTTTATTGATTTTAAACGCTTTTCAAATTTTTTAAGACTCCAACGCACAGTAGCTTATGTTTTTCGTTTCATTGCTGCATGTAGCAAACAACCTGTACAAGGTCCCTTTACTAAGGATGAATTACAAAATTCATTAAATGGGGTTGGCCGGTTAAAGCTTTTCTCAGATGTCGCCAGCGTAGCTTGTTCCCTTGTCACAGAGAGCCGCCATTTTGTGTTTTTTGCGTTCGTGATATTTCGGCATTTTGTGACTTTGATACGGTCCTTATTACTTTCTAGGTAGTGCTAAACAGTTTTACAACATGTATTCAAACTAGATAGTTAAGGAATTAAAGGAGGAGTTGAGAAAACGTGGTGCATCTTTACGAGGAAAAAAAGTGGATTTTGTCGAAAGGTACAATGTTGATGTTTTATTTTAACTTAGAAAACTTCTCTTAAACTGTTTCCGGTAGCTATTATAATAATAATATTAAATTGTGTACCTTAGGAACTTTATTCCTTGTAGCATGTGCAAAAAGAATTGCTCATATTACACACATTACTTATCAACTAATGTATTATTTTACTTTTTTCAGATTAGAGCTACCTATATGACCAAAATTTTAATTTTGAAACAAAATGAAAAAATTGCTCTAGCAAAATATGCTAATATATATGATTTGCTAGTGGAGCCATGTGGCATTTTCATTAGCCAAGAGCGCCCATATCTTGCTGCATCTCTTGATGGTGTGTTGGGCGAAGAAACTATAATTGAAGTGAAATGTCCATACGCTAGCAGAAAACATGAAATAAATATAACAACGGTGCCTTACTTAGAACAATGTAACGGGATATTGTCTCTAAAAAAATCTGCCCATATTATTATCAAATCCAAGGGCAGTTATACTGCTCAGGCAAAACATACTGCAACTTGGTCATTTACACCTACAAGGACATCAAAGTGGTTTATGTTGAAAAAGACAATAATTTTATAAATAATATGTTAAATAAATTAAATATCTTTTATGAAAATATTTTCAAAGAAGCATTGTATGAGAAATATCTGTATTATAACTATACACACTTGTCGAAATAAAAAAATCAGGAATATTTTTAATTATTTTTATTGACAATTCCTTCTCTAAAATTACATAACATTACACACATGAAATTAATCGTTCTATGTGAACCCTCTGACTAGCTAATTTTTGATCTATCTTTAACTGAACACCTGGGATTTGTGATTTACCTTTTAAAAAAGATGGGATATTTATACCAATTCCTTTAGAGGCAAACAGATCCTGTACATTAAAACCTCTGTCTGCCATAATACTATCTCCAGAATCACAAATCTGCAGCAGCTTACTTCGTTCTACTATCTGTCGTTTGATACATATGATAATAATCCCCCTGGTAAAGCTCCTACTAAAAATTTCAAGGTATTTTTATGTTTATAAGAACTAAATGACGCTTTTTGAGCATCAGGTTGACTAGGCTTCTGTATGCCTATTTCAGTCCCATCTATAATCACCCTTGTGGAGGGATAATGTGTTCTAAAACAATTAGGCATATAATAATTTACAAAGCTGCGGCTAGGCCGAATGTCAATTAGGCTCTAGATATCACTGACAAAATTTATCCATGTTACAACAAAATTAGACACTTCAGTTTTACTTACACCGAAAATTTTACTTAATTCAAAATCTGTTGTGTTTCTTCTAAGCTTAATTAGTAACATTAAAAATTGATCTTCTATTGATATGCCGACCACTCTACTCCAGCGATACCTTATATCATTTGACATTGGCAAAAGTGTGATTAAANCCGAAAATTTTACTTAATTCAAAATCTGTTGTGTTTCTTCTAAGCTTAATTAGTAACATTAAAAATTGATCTTCTATTGATATGCCGACCACTCTACTCCAGCGATACCTTATATCATTTGACATTGGCAAAAGTGTGATTAAAACTAATGAAAACTTAGATGCTGTTTCCAACCCGGTGTAGTATTGCACTGTCTCATGGTCTGCAAGTAACAGTTCTGTAGAGAACAATCTTAATATATTGGATGTTTGAGTTCCAATAGTAATATGATGCCCTGTAATTGTTTCATCTATACTAGAGTTATTATTTCCTATTAGAATTTCTTGAGAGACATTTGAATCAAAATGCACATTGCTGTGTTCTTGAAGTATTGGGAAGTGTTGGGCAGGCTAAAAAGCTGTTTTTTAAGGTTACGAGTTTGTAACCTTTGTTCTCTACTTTTTGTTAATGTTTGACACCTACAACACAAAGAAAAACATTTAAATATACTATCACAAGGAAACCCGACCATAGTTTCAAAATATTTGTTATTACAATGGATGCAGAGATTTAGATAGAACTTTCAATAGTAACAGCTGATAATGAACAACAGCTCATGAGGAATGTGTTTCCTTCAGTCTGATTTTGTGTTTGTTAAAAGGTTCCTTACAGCATAAATCTACTTGCAAAATATGTTAGCAACTAATAGTGTGCCTAACTAATTATTATTGGATTTTTTTAATAAGAGAACAAAGACATCTAGTCATGCATTATAAATATTTGACAGAAAGAAGCATACCTGTGTATTTACTAATGTTTTCACAGTCGGATACCACAAAGGGTTTACGACATAACCTCGAACTTTTTGTGGGAGTACTTTTTTCGCGTCAAATGGCCTTTAACCACAGTCTTCCAATTTTCTTGTCCTTCGGGAATTGATGTACTCCAATTTCTGAGCATATTGGCACAAAACAACGCGTCATTGTGCTTAAAATAATTTTTAATCAAAAATTCCAATACAAATATTGAATGTTATGGGAACAATGCACACCAGCGCCACTTTGACAGTTGCCAACCCCATTCCATCATTCGAGCATCTCAACAGGAATCTTTTAGTGAATATAATATATTGTTCTTTAATCAACAATTGCCAAAAAAAAGCGCATTACTAAAATTTAATGTATTTTTGGATGAACACAAAATAATGCGTGTTAATGGCAGGTTACAGAATTCAGATTTACCATATGATACAAAATGTCCAATTCTTTTACAGTCTAATCACCACTTTACAAAACTACTGTTTGAGTATGAACATAAAAAGTTATTCCACGCTGGGCCTCAGCTACTTTTAGCGTCCATCAGAGACTCATATTGACCCATAAGAGGACGAAATTTAGCCAGGTCATGCTACCGTAGATGTGTACGATGTTGTCGTCTTAAAGGTCAAACTGTCACACCGATTATGGGTAATTTACTACGGCAGCGACTTCAAGCTGAGGGTTTTGCATTCCAGAATATTGGTTTGGATTATGCTGGTCCAATACAATGTGCTGTTAGACAGGGTCGAGGTTGTAAATTGGTAAAGGTTTATATAGCCATTTTTGTATGCTTTGCGACCAAATCAATACATCTTGAATTAGTCGGTGATTTAACCAGCAAAACTTTCATCATGGCGTTAAAGAGATTCATCTCGCGTAGAGGTAAACCAATCAATATTTATTCGGATAATGGTACCTCGTTTGTTGGTGCTGCCAATGAACTCTCAAAATTTTTAAAGACGAACTGCAGCGCCTTGTCTGAGGAAATGGCTCAGGAGGGAATTAATTTTAACTTTATACCTGCATACTCTCCTCATTTCGCTGGCCTTGCCGAGGCTGGTGTTAAGTCTACCAAGCATCATTTGATCAGGGTTTTGGGTCTCTGTAATCTAACATATGAAGAACTTTATACTACGCTGGTACAGATAGAAGCTATCTTACTCCAGACCACTGACCCCCCTGTCATCGAACCGTGAAGACTTGACACCATTGACACCTGGACACTTTATAATTGGATGCCCTTTGACATCGTTGCCGACAACTGATTACACAGACCATTCTACCAATTCTCTATCGCGATTCCAACGCATAGAACAACTCCGACAACATTTTTGGCGAAGATGGAGTAAAGAATATATCTCGGAGCTCCAACTAAGGACCAAATGGCGCACAAGTAAGCGTTCTCTGAAGCTGAATGCTCTGGTAATTCTAAAGGAGGACAACATGCCACCCCTGAAATGGAAATTGGGTCGGATCGTAGCCACCTATCCAGGACCGGATGGCGTAACAAGAGTTGCAGATGTCAAGACGTCCTGTGGTTTAGTCCGCAGATCGTTCAACAAGATCTGTCCGCTACCTCTACTCTGAACATTGATCTCTTGTTGAAAGACAGGCTTTCAACGCCCGGGGGTATGTTCGCGCAATAAACCTTAAACCTCAATAAATAATTTTATATTTTTTATGTATGATTAATGTCATAGTGTCACTTGTCTGTCATTGTTTTTACTTATTCCAATTATTACATCTTTATGGAAAACGCAAGCGTATTTTAATTTACTCGATTTATTAAAGAAAATTAATAAGGAAATGAAACCCATTTGCCGAAACAAGCTGTTTAAAAGTGCATTTATCCTTTTTTTTAGAAAATAATTGTGAAGAAAGTGTGCAACATTTTTTAATATTTTATAGTTCTTTTTTTCGTTTATCTTTTAGAATAGATATCTAGCTCGACCCATGTTTGCATTCCGATGTCTTTATATGGCAAGCCAGCGCTACTACAGTTATTCACGAAACATGGTATGTAAAGGGGAATGCCCATTTCAGGCCCAAAGCGGACAATAGATTAGAGAAAAAATACTTAGTGCATTAATTTTGTCATAAATAAATATGCATTTACTTTCTTCCAAATGGCCAATAAGTAGTTTAAAAAAATTAACTATATTGAATAAACAAGGTTTTTGATTTTTGCGGGAAAAATATTGCCAACATCAAAACCTTTTACGTATTAAGTAAACATTTTAAGTATATAAATAAAACATTTTCAGTATTTGAGAATACTTAAAATGTTTTATTTATATGTTTTATTATATTAATGAGTTAATAAATCGATTTTAATCGATTATAAGCACATAAAATAACATCAGAGACATTGGACATTGGACTTTAACTCGTGTAGAGTTACAAGTTAAAGTCCAATGTCCAATATATGTCCAAAAACATAAAAAATAATGTGTACTCGTAAAAAAAAGATTAAGAAAAATAAATCAACTATCGGTTATTTAAAAAAATAATCGATATATCAATTTAATGTAATTATTTTCCGTTATACTGACAACACTGAATTTAATCTGACTGACTGACGCTTCGCTTGCTGCTTGCGCTTACGTTCAAGATGGATGTGTTTTGATTTTTTTCGATTTATTTTAGTGGCTCTGTTTTATGGATCTTATCCTCCCTTCAAAGACAACTTTGGCTCAGCAATTAAGGATCACAGCTACATTCGATTATGGATACCGATCAATAACGTTTCATACTACGACTGAAAAACATTTTATGAATTGTGGTTTTAACCAGACCGAGATTCAAAACCATACATTGGATAAAAATACATTAGGAACATCTCTCTTATCATAATTAATAAATTAAACATTAAGAAAAGAAAAGTTCTTTGAGTATCTCACAATCCGATACTTATTTATATAGAAAATTAACCTCAAAACTATTTTTTATTTATTTAATTTTTATAATAGTGGCGTCAAACTCAAAATATTTTTAAGATATCTAATACATTTAAGAATTTGAAACAGTCCATTTTTATAGTAATATTTGATGTCCATCTTGGGCCCAACACACTATGGAGAGTGGGCATTCCCCTTTATAATTAAATTTTAGTAAGGTATGGAAAATGAATTAATAAAATGCTTAGAACAAATTAAAAATATTAAAAAAATATTTGATTAAGAAAGGCAAGTCAAGATTTTTGGGTAATGTAACAAAAAATAAATTTAGAAGCCACAGTCGCAGAAACGGTCTACGGACTTAAGACTCCCCGGAGGCATATTTCCATTTCCGTGTTCATTAGGAGGCGGTACTGCCTTGAAACACGCACGGGTTTGTCGCGCTAACTCCCTTTACAAAATCGTGTTCAATTCAAGACACGTGTCCNATTAAGAAAGGCAAGTCAAGATTTTTGGGTAATGTAACAAAAAATAAATTTAGAAGCCACAGTCGCAGAAACGGTCTACGGACTTAAGACTCCCCGGAGGCATATTTCCATTTCCGTGTTCATTAGGAGGCGGTACTGCCTTGAAACACGCACGGGTTTGTCGCGCTAACTCCCTTTACAAAATCGTGTTCAATTCAAGGCACGTGTCCTCCAATCGCGCACGGGTTTGCAACGCCAACTGCCCTTCTAAACACGTGTTCAAGGTGATGCATGGAACTTAGCCATGAAGTTCGCGCGATTTTGTAAACATCTCTGCGCTGTAGAAAGAAAACATGGGACTGTACTTACCACATCGCTACATTTGAATGACTTGGATCGTCAACAATTTGCAAAATTCGCTCTGGGTGACCAGTTTTTACCGTCATTTTTTGAAAATATTACGGGCACAAATAGTGAAGACAGCCAAAGTGACTGTTGTACCAAACACTTTTGAACTTCCAATAAATCGAGCGGAAAACAGTGTAATTATCATCAATGAAAACTTTGAAAATGCTATTCAAAATATTAAAGCTCAGTGGCAAAGAATTACTGATATCTTGGAGAAGGATTTAAATGCTGCATACACAAACAAAAACAAAGTTTGGATCTGATTTGTCGAAGCTAAAAACTCCATCGAGTATTATATCATTTATAGTTGAAAAAGATGTCCGACGAAAATCTCGAAAACTTAATGTACAACCAACATCGCTCGCTCGCCGCAAAGAAAGAGGTTTACCATGCAGTGGAAGGATTCAATCAGAACGACCAGCCAAATCAAAAACTGTGAAAAGAAAACGTGTTCATAATATTGCATCTAATATTGATGATAATGAGCCTCCTGCCAAAAAACGTTAATTTTATAAAATTACTTAATTATATTTGTATAAGTACCTACGTTGATTGCCTGCAATACAATACCATCTTCATACATCTTTGAATATAGATATATTTTGGTCCTAATAAAAGGTTAAAGACTTTGTTTGAGTTTTCTTGCCCATTCATTAAACACAAAAGTGCCTTCGAACAAACACGGATTTGTGGCGCTTAATCAAGGCGCATACTCCTTGCAAACCCGTACGCGATTGGAGGACGCGTACCCTGAATTGAACACGTGTTTAGAAGAACAGTCGCCGTTGCAAACCCGTGCGCGATTGGAGGAAACGTGCCTTGAATTGAACATGATTTTGTAAAGGGAGTTAGCGCGACAAACCCGTGCGTATTTCAAGGCAGTACCGCCTCCTTATGAACACGGAAATGGAAATACGCTCCCCTCCCCGGAGAGCTGTTAATAGCTTCCTCGACACTAGAAAAAATTGAAGATGCCACCGATTTTGTGGTACAATTGCGTGACAAAATGTCGTCTATACGCCCAGTGCCTGCATCTCGACATCGTAAAAACTCTCCGTTTATACTTAAGGAATTGGCAAGTGTTTCTGATGTCTTTCTGAGAGACGATACCATCCGCAGGGTATCGCAGTCGCCATATACAGGTCCATTTAAAGTACTAGAACGCTCCCCTGATGGAAAAACGTTCACACTATCCATGAAATATAACAAAGTTGTCGTGAGTGTAGACAGACTTAAACCGGCTTTCATAGATCACATTGATGATGAACGGAATCAAGCTGAGCATTCGTCTTGTCAACAAAATCAAGCCATACTACCAATGAATCTGGAAAATCCAGCGCCGCTGTTGCCGCTTGCAACAAGGCTGCTGTCAATTCCGATAAAAGTTCAAGATGAGAAAAAGATTCCTTTTTGTGATTCGAGTCCAATTCCAAGAGTCCATTCGGTCGCAGCACTATAGAGTCCACAGGCATTGAATAACGCAAAGCAGCCATTATTGAAAAGTTAGCCCCGTTAATGCTGGCAAACAGGAAACAGTTTTAGATTAACATACCAACAAATGAGACTATTAAAAATCTTTTGGAAGAAGACTAGCTTTATATAACGGCCCAGAATTTCCAAAGATATTTATTATAAGAAGTATTTTTTTTAGCATGTTATGTGCATCGATACGTTTAACAGACTATTCATAATTATTCCCGATTTTATAATTATATTCTTGTAAAAGAGAGTCACGTCCTTAATGTGTATTTACTAAGCTTATTAAAATAAGATTAATTTAGTAATTTGACTGAATAGTTCAGAAAAAGTACATATATGTAAGACTGCCAAGTTACTGTGATCTCAGAAAGTGCCAATAATAGAATTAAGTCGTTGTTTTTAATTTTTGTAAAATGTACGAGGTAATTTATTTCAAAATGTTAGTTTAATGAACGCCGTTTTAATACATACACAAAATTGATTGTTTTATTTAAGTATACAATATTTACAAATGTAATTATTATAATATACTTGTAATACCAGAAAATTTCCTTTCAATTAATTTAAACCTTTTTTTTAATTAACGCCATCTAGCGATTGTACGTGGCGCAGTGTGGATAATTCGATACTTAATTTATATATGTTACCGGAAATGTATGCAATCCGTCATTGTATACAATTCCTAGGAAATGTATGTAATTCCTAAAATCGCACGGAAATGTGTGAAATAAATTATATTATACTTACACATTACACATTTCTTAGGAAATCTATACATTTCCTAAATAGCAATCGGAAATGTAAAACATTTAAGATATTGGTGGGTACGCGGGGACAGCGGGACGAGTCTTGCACTACGGTCCGTTGCCAACTTGCAATCCACTGGAATCGGCCAGGGATTTAAGAAGTGCCTTTGCAAGAAAAACTGTGCTACATCAAGATGTC